CAACCCAAAAAGAAAAACAAAATGGAAGATTTTTAGTTCATATATTATATAAACTTTTATTAAAGAAAATAAAATGGAAGATTTTTAGTTCATATATTATATAAATTTTATTAAATATGATTTGCCCGTGGGATATAATTCATGCAATTAGATTTAGCTATGTCTTTTGCATGGATTCTGAATTCCATATTTGCTTTACATTCACAAAATAATATGTACTTAAAGAAGTGTATTGAGCTAAATTGGGTTTCTATCAATCTATTCTTTTGAATTAATTGACATTATGTGTATCACAAGGAACTTCAAATTAAAAGTTAAAACTTAAGTTGTAAAACCCTTTTTTTTTTCTTTAATAAGTTTTAAAGTATGTTAGTCTTTTGTTTCCTTTATTGGGCAAAGATTTTATCTTATTTTTAATATTTTCATTCTATTTTTGAAGGGAATTAAATTAGAGTGAAGCATCTTTAACCATAAACAACCAGAAACTGGCTACCAGCTTGGCTTTGTTCCTATAATCAATATTGAAAACGAAAAACCAAACAACCAAAGTCCTTGCTCCTTTCTACGCTTTAATTAATTAGTAGGATGCCATACGGTTGGACGACTTTGACAAGCTGAAGCAGCCTTGTTACAAGGTATAATTCCAGCTAAATGCTGGTGGTTGTTGCATCACTGAGTCGTTAAAAGTTACTTAAAAATTTTACAAAATTGTAGGTAAACAAGTACTATCAATTTAGCATCCAAATTAAGGGCTAATAATTTCTTTTTTTCTTTCTTGAACCAAATAAGCATCACTTTAGTTAGCTTGACAGCAACGTTAGAATTGAAGGTTCCATTGCAGGGCATGCTTGGCTACATCTTGATTGTCTTCCTGGAAAGGGTGCAGTCGAAGATTCTTTAATTAGATACATAATACATTTTTTGTCAAAATTTATTATTGTTCAAACGCTATAATTTGAATCTAAAATCTTTTGTTAAACCCAATTTGAATTCAGTTTAAGTGAAAAGAATACTCTTAGGAATACTTTTATATTTAAAATGTATTATGATCATTCTTCTTGTTAGATATTATCAACAACAATAAAAAATATTTTAAATTTTTAGATTGATCTGACATATCAAATCAACTTGACATATTCAATATTACATCAATTTAATTACGTTACTACTCTATCTCATAGACACTTACTTTTTGCTTATAAATAAAAATATCAAAGTACTATAGATCTATCCCAGTCTATTAATGCATTATTACTTTTCTCTTCTTTCGACCTCCCTTATACCGATCTTACCGATTTTTGTTTTGAGTATAAGAAAGCAAACGCAAAAAAGACTCCTTTGCCCCTAACCGTTTTATTTTATTCTGTGCTTTCAGGGTTTTTAACCTTATCTTAGAGCTCCGCACCAACAAATACTTATGAGTTATGTTTGATGGTAAAAAAGAAATCTTGAAAATCTTATGTTTTGGTATAATAAGGTTTTTTTCTTAAAATTAAAGAACTCTTACCATCATGGTTAGCTCTGTTGTAACGTTTGGTTCTTTTAGTAAAAACTTGCTTTCATCAAATGCATAAAAAATAAGGGCATGATAAGCGACTGATAAGATTTCCCCACCATCCCAAAAGGAGCGTGTCGTGTCTTGCTCCAGTGGGTTGTAGCTGAAAAATCATGCCAACAACATATCTATTCCCCTATCTTGAAAGAGAGAGTATGGGGAATATTTCCCATCGGTTACTGGTAATAAAATGGTTGACAATGATTTTTTATCGAAAAGGGTTTTTGAAAAATCCAATTTATTTTTAGTTGTTCTTTTATTTTTATAGAATTAGGTTGTAACACATGACCCCATATATAGCTAACAATTAAGTCATTTATCATTATTCAAAAAGGAAAACTGCAGACCCTTTGCTTTCTTGCTTTTATTCATGTGGTAGACTGTAAGTTAAAGCAAACTTGTCATCGAACCAATTCTTCGGTCAGGCACATGTCGAACTCCTTTATTCACAAGGAATGGGCAAGGGGAAATATGGGAAAAGAGAAAAATAAAAAATAAAAAAGAAGCTGATGCAAAAACCCTAACCCCAAGTTTCCTTTTCCTCAACCTAACTCATTGTTCACTGGATTTTTGACAATTCGACCGTTAGATTGAAACAGACCAAGCAGCTAAAGGAATCCCAACTTTTTGTCCTTTTTTGGGAGGGGTTTTTTTTAATCATAATTAACAATGTTGTGACATTGAGTAAAACTTGCTGCTCTTTGAGATTTCCTCTATTTAAACCGATCAATCCATCTTACAAACCTTGAAAAGGGTTCAAAAATACATATTCCTTTGTCATTGTTATGAATAATTTAACATATTGACTATAAAAGGCAGCACTTTGAAATGCAGTTGTCTTGTATATACTTTATGTCACTCTACCAGCAAATATGATTGACAAAGTTTCCATATGTTGTTGTTTTATGTCCGACCAATTATTTTGGCTTCCTCTACACGTACGTAAATGTTGCTGTATATTGCACCTTTACATGTCTTGTCATTAGCCCACAAGCTGAATATATTCATGCAACAATCATTGATTGGAGTACATTGGTACATTATCCATTTAGGAGTACATGTTTCGTAATTTCATATATGTATCTGTATCTAATGTATAATGTAAAATGAATATGAAAATACCTTTTGATTTATTGAGCTGAATTAAGTAAAAGTGAAAAATTGAGTGCATTATTTCATGCATTAAACGTGCATATGTATGTATTTGATGCATTCACTTAAGTATGGAAACTTCGAATAATATACAGGAATAGACTTACCTTGTAAATTCAGCCCATTCATGTTGTATTAGAAACATTTTACCTATAGTGTTGTACAAAAGAAAAGATTTAGGGGAATGCTATTTCCAATTATCAGAGAAAGTTCCTCTTGTAAAAAGGTGAGCAAGCAAGATAGAAACATCAAAACCAAAAGTGTTGTTCCCCATCTTGCGGGTAGAAGAAAATGTCATACAACCAATGGACATTAACAACAGCCAAAGGACATAAATCCTGCACTTGTATTCTTCTTTGCCATTATCTGCTTATAATAATAATATGATGAATGATTACCCCAACTACATATGAAATGATACAATCTGTACCAACTGGTCCTCAAAATCTTAATTGATCTAATCCAGTTTCAACCTTCATTTTCTACTCAATCTGCTTCAAGTATGAAAGTTCTCCCACCTTTTAAAAAAGCCAACTACTTTGAATCAGTCAACAAACAAATCAGCTTTCGGCAATTTAATCAACTGCATAAAATTACTGCAAAAGCCAACAGAGCATTCTCATTAGACCATGAGGACAATCACATGATTGGAGAACATTAACTCATTTTTAATCCAAAGCAGGTAGCTTTTTTTTTTTTTTAACTAAAATTTCAGGTAGCTGCAACTGTGCGGATAGTGCATTAATATTCTTTAATATTTCCCACTCTTCCAAGTTCTAACCTTCTGCAATCTCTCCAGGCCACCTTTTTTTTCCCTGTGCTTTCTTTCTACCCCATGTGGAGCTTTGCACCACATGCTCCCACCTTATTCTCAACCCTTTCCTTTTAATCCAGGCACCAATCTTTTTGTCTCCTCTCATTCTATCAGTCTCACTAGCAAACTCTTTCAGTCTTCCCCTTTATTTACTAGAATCATTAACACAGTGATTTACCTAATTTGGACTATAATGACTCAGTTTCTGTTAATCAGTGCACTAGGTTTATTATTTCAAGTACATTTTTAACATGATCTAAGGTTTCATAGAAAAGTTATGATTCCAAAGGGCATAATTATTACAGTCAGCCTCTAGTGTCAACCAGAAAGCCAATAACCAAATCTAAATTGCGTTTTCTTTTTAGTTTTTTTTTTTTTCTTGTCCACCCATCATAATTTTGTCCTGAATAAAACACCAAAGAATGCTGCTAAAGATCCTTGTGCTCTCTTATTGTAAAACCCTTTGATGATAAAATTAAAAGCTTTTTCAATGTGTTGGAGACACAACATGTGCAGGGTCCTAGGCTTTAATCATGCGCATGCCTTCATTTTTGCAATTAGATTGTGGGGTTTTTTTTAGTGCTTTGAGGTATATAGTGGGGAATTTTCCTCTTCAGAAAGATGCCGCCTTTGTTATATCTAGTCATAAATCGCAATCAAATGCATTGATGATTGGCTCTGCCAAGAGTCTTTACAAAGTAGACAGTTTTTCCAGCCAAATTGAGGGCCATGCTATTTTCTCTATATCTTTTCTATTGATCTGTGAGTTTTTTGTCCTCCTTTTCTTGGAGAGAAAATGAGTTAGGTTCCAACCACACTATTTTCCAATGAAAAATTAATAATGTTAGTACACAATGATTTAATTGGGGAGATAAATTTTGATCTGTCTACTAGAAAAGGCTCATGCTTATCCATTAACACCAAACTTTTAGCTTTGTTTCTCTGCCAAAAAAAACATAATTATAATAATAAAAACTAGCCTCAAGTGACACTGATGCATCAATTATTTTTTGGCTATGACCCCAGAATGAAATATGAGAAGACTATTTACTACAAATTGGAATAGCTGATGAAGGAGGTAAATTCATATGCCAAATCTTGGTTTAGTCCAACAAAAACCTTGTTGTTTAATTGACTTTCGTCCTCATATGTGAAAGAAACTACTAGTCTATATATATATATATATATATATAAGAAATAATATTTCATATATTGTCCATAAAACTTTTAAAATTTACAAGTTACTTAAATTGTTTTGATTGAGATGAAATTATTTGATTTTTGGCAAGGAAACGAAATAAAAATGGAGAATAGGTTGTTCAAATAGGCCCAGATATAAAGGGCTGAAAATTTTTAAGACCTGGCTAACAGTGATCGGGCCATTAGGCCCTTTATGTGCTAGGATTGGGCTGGAAATTTTTAGCCCACAAATAAAGCCCGTTTCATATAGACGTTACATAGGGAAAGGGAACGTTATATGGAAGGTTCCAAGTCAACCTTAAAAAAAAAAAAAGGCATTGGAATCTTCGCAATCAACCTAAAAAACAACGAAATTTTGTAGAGAAAGACAGAAAGACGCAAAGCAAAGATCTTACCTCTCTAACCCTTTTTTGAAACGTCATGTCGGGGTAGCACCGCACGTAGCCGTCTCACAGAGGAACGAAAAGCCTGGCGCAAAAATCCCCCCATGTACCGACATTCCTCTCCTCTTCTCTCGTCATTGTTTCTTTCTTTGATCCCCTCTCTGTTTTCTTTCTTATGGTTTCTTTTTTTTTTTTGTGATTTTTTTAAGGGTCTTGAATTTGATGATTTGGCACTGTGTTATCCCCGGCAAAAAGGGGGGGGGGTCAGTCTCTACTTAAACTACAAAACATATCTTTTTTTTTTTTTTATCAAGTTTGGACCTTTGAAGTTTTGGGTTACTGAATTGTAGGTCTTTATTTTACTTTTTCTTTGTTGGGTTTTGTTTTCTTATGTTGTTTATTTGTAAGTATGCGAGTTGTATATACTGGAATTTCTGTGCTACAATAAGTTATTAGAATGTTCAGATTTCGGATCGAAGTTGTAAATCTGTATAATCAGTTTCTGCCTTGTTTTCCCTTAATTCTAAACAAATTTTTACCCTTTTTCTACTTTGCTCGGTAGAACAGACAATGGCGGGGGGCGGTCAGTCTCTACTTAAACTACAAAACATATCTTTTTTTTTTTATCAAGTTTGGACCTTTGAAGTTTTGGGTTACTGAATTGTAGGTCTTTATTTTACTTTTTCTTTGTTGGGTTTTGTTTTCTTATGTTGTTTATTTGTAAGTATGCGAGTTGTATATACTGGAATTTCTGTGCTACAATAAGTTATTAGAATGTTCAGATTTCGGATCGAAGTTGTAAATCTGTATAATCAGTTTCTGCCTTGTTTTCCCTTAATTCTAAACAAATTTTTACCCTTTTTCTACTTTGCTCGGTAGAACAGACAATGGCGTAGCTTGAGTTAGTATCATATATGTTTTGCATTGGAAGGCTAGCAAAGGCATTTAGTAGACAGTGGGGAACAACTTGATTCTTCTAAATCAACAACTTACTTTCATTCAATGAGAATTTACATAGTCGCCTGGAAGAAGTTAAATATGGTTTTTTCTTTAGTTCTTTATAATTTAGTATCAAGTCCAGATCTATAATCCATATGTCTATTTCTTGAAACTAGGTTATTAAGGAGGCATGGTAGACCTTGGAGCTCGGTCAGGGTTCTTTGAAAATATGGTGTTTGCTGTGAACTCTATTTCAATGTTTTGTTTGCATTTTGCACTTCTGAATTCTGATATATTATCATTCAGTTTTGTAGTTCCCTTTAACCTTTTATCATCGTTTGTTAATGAGACTGACAAAATGTTATCCCTTTTCTTTTGCAATGCTTACAGTTTGGAAACAAAACCGCTTATCAAATTGATTTTGAGAATTGTTTCTAGTATTATCAGTTGACAACTATTGTGCAGCATAGATGAAGTGGTCTTTTCTCCATTAAGTGCTTAGTTCATTCATTTTCTTTACCTGTAATTTTCTTTCTTACTTTTCGAGGAATACCCTAGCAAACCCCCTATATGCAAGTTTCCACATGGCTTATTCCATTCTAATGTCTATCCTTCTGGAACTGTGTGTCTGTCTATCCTAAACGAGGAAAGTGTAGGGTGGAGACCAGCCATTACTGTGAAGCAAATTTTAGTCGAAATTCAGGATTTACTTGATCAACCCAATGCAAGAGATCCTGCACAAACTGAGGGATATGTCAGCTCTAAGTCTCGGCAATTAGCATACCCCTAGAAAAGCTAATTGTTTGCCTTTTACAAAAGAAAGGAAAGTTTTATTTCCCCATATTGATGCAACTGCAATGTTGGCAGAACTCAAATGAGTACTAGAAAAGAGTTCAACAGCAAGCCCAGCAATATCCACCTTCTCTCTTGTCATATGTTTGATCACCAGAAATGATTGACTATTATGTCATTTCGCTATTTGACTTCATTTATGCTTAAGGCTCTTCCAAGATATGCAATTCTAGTTTGAGTATCCAAGGTCAGTTGTTTAAGATGTTTTTGTTACCTATGATTTTCTCTACATTGTAAATTGGTGAGAGCAACAACTTCTAAGATTTACTATGAGATATGCTGATAGAATTTGAAGACTAGATGTTGTCTCTCTTTTTACCCTTTGTTAAAGAGTGATGTATGTATGATTGAAAGTAGATCCATGTTTGTAATTAACCAACGTGGGTAAGTAAATTACAATTAAAAAAAAAGTGAATACTGGTAACGCTGAGAGATGATCATGACATTACTGTGCAAGCTTGAAAATGGATACAGAACGATAGCCGGTTATCAACAGCAAGGAATCATTTTGTTAAGGGTGTTCTCTGGTAGTGGGTAATACATTGAGAGAAATCAGAGCTTGTATTAAACTGATAATTCATTATCTTAGTGCAATTTTTATCAAACAGAACATTCTACAATGCTGTGGTTTTACACTTGCTCGCTGTTGAAAGATCACATATTTCTTTATATAGCATTAATAGCTCGAAATCTTTTTCCACATTCCACATAGCAGCTGATCTTAAACCTTTGAAGGAATAATTATTATGTGGAAAAGTATAAATTATTATGCGGGAAAGCACAAGTGTTTGTCAAACAAGGAAAACCTGATTGTTTATACAGTACACCGTTTTTTGTTTTGTAAAATAAAATATCCCCAATCAAACCTTCCTTGTCTTTGTAAGATGCATTGCTGGCTTAATTATTTTTCTTTTGCAAATTCTCCAAGCTTTCGTATGCTGCTCATCTTTGCTCCCTCGTCACAGTTGGCACTAACTCCGTTAGTTGTTTTATACAATCTGATATCCTCAATCAAACCTATCATGTCATTGTAAGATGAATTGCCTTCTTCAATGGCTTTCTTTGCTAGTTCTCCAAGTCGTTTTGCTCTTTTGCTCATCTCTGTTGCCTTTTCTGTATTGCCCATTACTGCATTAATCGCCTTAAGAATATCATCCTTACTCTTTACTAAGGTTGAATCCTCTGTTGCCCATGCTTTCCAAACCTCATTGCCCACTGCTACTCCCAAATTTAGCACTTGAGTTACTAGCTTTTCATTGTAGAATTGTTCTGCAAAAATCGGCCATGTGATCAAAGGTACACCTGCAGTAACCCCTTCGAGTATAGAGTTCCAACCACAATGTGTCAAATAACCTCCAATGGCAGGATGCTCGAGTATCAACACCTGCGGCGCCCACCCCCTTATAATTAATCCCTGCCCGTTTTCTTTCATTTTGTGTTCAAATCCTTCTGGCAGCCATAATTCTTGCTCTTGATCTTTGCAATCATCATTCTTTGTTTTCAAGACTTTCCCAACAACCCAGATGAATGAGTAGCCTGAAGCTTCGAGCGCATGAGCAATCTCTGTTGTTTGATTTTTGCTGAACCTGGTTAGGCTTCCAAAACAGATGTAAAGAACGGACTTGGAGTTCCTGCAATCAAGCCAACTGAGGCACTGGTGTTTGGAAACAGAAGCCTTTTCCCCTCTTTCAACTTGATCATCTGTGTCTCTATTAAAAAGAGATACAGGGCCAATGTGCCAAGCTTTGATTCCCAAAACTTTCCTGCAATGATCTGCATAAGCAGGCTCTAACTCATAAAAACTGTTCATCAACAACCCAAAGCTCTTCCTCTCAGATTCCTTTAGCCTGTCAAATAACTCGGAGAAGTTATTTCTGGCTTTAACAATATCTGGCAGTTGTGATCTTGTGAGTATTATTTCATCTGGAAGGCCTGGAACAACGAATGTCTCTGTCTCGGATTTGATGTTCTTGTGAGGTTCATAACGTGAAATACTATCCGCGACACAAAGATTGAAGAATCCACTACCATTAAAGGCGATCCTTGGTATGCCAAGCTCATTGGCAACATCCAAACTCCATGGGAAGAGACAGTCAGAGACTATGCAGTCAGGGCGGAAATCACGGAAAAGCTTTTCAATTTGTGGCTGCAGCAATTCAATGGCATGGAAGAGTTTAATGGACATTTCTGGCGTTGGGACGGAGATCATATTTTCGCATCCTTCAGGTAAGCCGACTTCAGTGCTAGGTAAAGAGATAATTTCTAGTGTAATCTGACGGCCAGATTTAATATCTCGATCAATGGCGTTTTTGATGCGAAGGGCATTCATGGTTGTGATGATTATGGTGACCTTGGTGCCAATAGCAGCAAATCGCCTCGCCATATCTACCATCGGCATCATGTGGCCTGGTGCCATGTAAGGAAGAAACATTGCATGTATTTTATTTTCATCTTCTGTTCCCATTGTGGATTCTCAAATGGGGAGACACGGATTGAAAAGCTTAAAAAAAAAAAAAAAAGGAAAAGCTTTTCAATCCATGGTAATCATGCGCAATTGATTTGAATTGTGCAGTCAAACTCTAATAGTTAAAGGTTAAAAAAATGGATATTTTCCTGACATTAAGGTATCATAACATCTTAAACCAAAGGACCTGGTAAAACATCCTTATCTATAGAAGCCATAATTGCGGGTTCATTGAGGTTCGAATAAACCAACATGACAGCTTAATTCTGTTGGAATTGGTGTACCAGGTTGGCGACATCAGCTCACGCTGTTCCTGCCAAAATCTTTGAAACCACCCTTTTTCCAATTAGGGCAGCTGCATGATACATACAGTTTATTCCTAGTGTTTTTTTTTTTTTTGAACTAATACAATTCATTCCTAGTTAAGGGCAATAACATAAGCATAACTTGTTTATAAAGAGAAGGTAGGTGTATTTATCATAATACAATGCAATTAATAAACCATGTACTATTTCAAAAAAAAAAAAATGGCATTTACCCTTTTCCTTCTCTCAACTGCCTCGTCTCTGCCAGTTATCAATTCTTAGATTTTTGTTTTTGATTCATGGTATGGAGGCTGATGTTATGGACTCTCGCTTCCAAACATGGTAGTGACGCAATACGACCCAGCCGTCGAATGAATGGAATGGTCCATAGCTGATATCGAGACAAACCGCTATAAGATCTCCGAAAGACTGGTATCTACCACCAATATTATCGTAGCATTCTTTTTTGTCCAGGTGAATCAGAATTAGAAATTCTCAACTTTTTCTGTTAACAGGAGGTTTTTTTTTTTTTTTTTTGACAGATTCCACGGGAGATCTTTTAGTTTTGAGTTGTTTAAGCTTTAATTAGATCCTTGAACCATGTTTCTGTTTCGATTGATCTCTAGGGAGGCTAATATAGTAGCTAATCAGGTTGGAAATCAAAGCTGATAAAATTTAGCTCCCTGTCGTCCTACCTAGTGCTGAGTGCTGCTGTCTTGGATTGGTAGGCGTCCCCCTCCAAGAACCAGCTCAGGACAATTTTCCGTCCTAGGCTAGTATGAAAGGCCCATACACCTTTAAGGCAACGATGTTTCATTGACTCAGTTTTGCTCTTAGTGTTCAAACTTCGAAGGCCCAAACAGCCAATGTTTTGGGCTCTTGGCCATTGGGGTTGGACGAGTTGAGACTTGAGAAGAGAAATGCAGGTGGAGGAACGTTTAGGGCTTAACATATACTCAATGATTTTATTATTATCATTATTTTAACAAACAGATGGATGCTTGTAAAGCACCCAACCAGACTGGCATGGAATATTTTGAGACAGCACCCGTAAATGTCAGGATAGAGCAAATCTCAACAGGATACGATGTGGATTGTTTTTAAAATTTTATTTATTATCAATTAGTAGTAGTTTATATATATATATATATATATATAATATAATATAAACATCAATAATTAAAAAAAAGGAAAAAAATTGCGTGAAAAGAATGATTGAAATGCTTTAATTTACGTATGAAGAATTAAAAAGAATAAAGAATATACTTCTCTTGTTCGTGCATACAGATATCGTCAGGACAATGAGCAAAAACTTGAGCTTGACCCAACAAAGAAGTACAATCGATGAAATTTTGCTTCTTTTTTTTTTATTTTTTTTGTTTTTATTTGATGTTATCAAAAATTAAAATTTGATAATTAAAATTAAAAATATAAAAATTTATCATCAAATCACGCGAATGGCTTACAAAATTCTTTGATTTTTAACAAGTTAAAAAAGTTTCCACATGTTAAGAAATAGCACTCATAAGAACCATCATTGTTTATCTCCTAATCCTATTATTCAAGTCAACCCCACTATAAATTTCCAAACTTCAATTCATGATCGGCTAAAGCAAAATCTTAGACAAAAATTCTCCTTACAGATTTGATACAAGTTTAGAACCATATATGAAACTTTGGTCCTACATTTCAAATTCTAGAAGAGGGCACCAAAATAGCCATGAACAATTAGTCTTGCTTTCTAATTTATTTCCTTTTAAAAATTTTAATCTAGAAGTTGAATAGCGCAAGTAATCCTTTGGTTTCATTTATATTTTTCTTCGTTTAAGGCGAAAATTCAATCTTATGTTCTTAGAATATACAGCCGCCAAATCCTCATCTATTGCACTTATTTGTTTGTTGTTAAACCCCAGGGCTGCCTCAGAGTCCATTTTCAAACAATCACAATAAGTGGTATAGCTGTCATAGGTTGAATGGTGAGTTTTGACATTCTTCCAGGCAAGCAAGCAACCTTGGATGTGGATTTTTTTTTAATGTCCAGACTTCTCTGTCAAGTTGTTGATATTATAATCAATTTGATGCTTCCATGACTTGGGAGCTCCTCAACGGTTGTATTCTGAAAACATCTAATCCTGAAACTTGACCTCTTCTTTAATAAAAATTTATCTGGGCACTAGTTTTGTTAGATGAATCAATTTACAAATGTTCAGACCTTTATTTATGCATATTGAATGGTGAGTACCGTTTGGCATTTGGCATCTCATCTTTTTGTCACCTCCGTTCCAGGGTATTTCTTTGTTTTCCTTCCCACATGCTTTACTTATTCCCTTTTTTTTTTTTTTCTGTTTTTTCTTTCTTTTTGACTTTTTCTGATGGTCTTGATTTTGATAATTGAATTTTTAAACGATTGTTGAATTCAGTTTTGCTAAACCAAAACGTGCATGAAACTCTCATGTTAGGAGTTTGAGGGTCCAATATAGGCAAAAGGATCCAAAAATGAACAAATGTTATAGATTCTATACAATGTAAATTACATATAGTTGAGAAGGCAAAACTTTACATGGCAAAAGCCAATAGGTCAGGTGAACATTGTAAAAGCTTAAAGAGAATTAAAGTATTTCAGCTCTCAATTCCTCATAGAACCTGTTTCTGTCTCTGTATTTTGAAGATGAACAAGCTGCTAAATATTGCAGAGGTTCAACTGTTCAAGTAAAACCTATCAACCTCCTATAGTGCGTCCATGTACAGCAAATCTATGCCACTTACACAACAAACACTTCATTCAACGCCAAAACCGAGACAACTTGGAGACACTCGTTGCAAAAAAAATTGTCAGTCTTGTAGCTACAAAACTGAGTTGGGGGATCTTCCATTATTATCCAAGACGATTTCGAATAAATCAGCCTCAGACTCCTCATCAAATTCTGTTGTTGGACAATTAGTCCCATTGTTGTGGCTGCTTTTCGTTGTGCATCTGTTAAGCCATTGGGAATCAATTCTTCCCATTGAAAAAAGCTCTCTGCTGTCTTCATATCCGAGAGCAGCAGCAGGGGAATTTACAAGAGGGCCAATGAAGCATGGGTTTGGTGTCCGCTGTCCATTTGCTGGAGCATATGCAAAGGCACTTTGTCCAAAATTAACAAGAACCAAAACATCATCGTTTGCTGCGAGAGTTGGATAAAGAGGAGTTCCAAATTCCTCAGACTTGCAATTTATTACATGCACCAGCTCCGAGTCTAACGTGAAAAACACTTTCTTTTGCATAGGATCGAACCCACAACCTATCACCTTCTCTGTTTTCCCCCAGTCTTGTTTCTCTGATTCAAACACAAGTTTAATTCCTGGAATAGAATAAAGCAAGAGTTAAAATTGCATAAAGAAGTGACTTAGAACTAAGAAAGTTGAACTGCTTAACCCAGATTTTACTGGTACAGATAATACAGCAATTAATTAGAAGCAACTAATACATCTTTTTTGTCAATAGCTTCATATATACCAATTCCAGATACAGTGAAGAGTGGCAGTGGGCCTTTTTTTCATTTACTTCAAGGTCAGGCTAATTTTCGGGATCTCTTCAGTTGAGAGATATATTAATAGGCGGGTTGATGTATTGATAATATATAAAAATGTTATATGCTGTCAATTAATTTTATGATGAATAAAATTAAAAATAAATTATTTTTGGTAATTTAATAAATTTATTAATATTTATTTTAAAGATCTAATTACTTTTAATTTAACTCATTAATATAATATCATCTGAGATTGATTCACTTTTTAATTGGTAAACACAGGACTAACTTCTGAACTACTATTTCATCTATAAGTGGAGTGTGTTTAATCTCCTTTAACTTTTAAAACATAAGCAACTCATTTTCCAAGACAGTAATTACTCCTTCCATCTCAAATGGTTAATCTGTCCTTGATTTTCACTATGTTAAAAAAAAAGTATGACTTTAGTACATATAATATTAAAATTTTAATTTTAAATATTTTTTATGTTTCATAATTTTTAATATCATACAGTATAAAAATCATACAAGAATAATTTTGAAATATAAAAATAAGAGATTAAATTTTATACTAACTAAATAGAGATTTGATAGAAAAAAAAAATGTATCCATGAAAATTAGTTACCATCTAGAAAGACAGAGCCATCCGAATTGAAGCCGATGGATCCTGGATAGCTACCAGGAAGCTTCAAAGGAAGAGAGCCTCCTGCAGTTAGTCCCACTGATAAGATTACCGCTTCACCTTTTCCATCATCTTTAGTGGCAAGCTTTAATTCCTCAATCTTGTTAATATCATGATTGCTTATAACATGGACTAAAGATTCTGAATTTGCTTTTGGATTTAAATTTTCTTGGATGAGTTTTGTCCTATCACCATCCTTCAGCTTGCCACTTGAGTCATGATCATCTCCGCGGCAACACAAAATCGTGATCTCGAAATAGGCCTCTTGAGGGAAAGCAGAATTCCCCAACGGAGGCCCTGGCAAAGGCAAAGCTGTTCTAATAACAGATGCTGCTGCCATAGATTGATGGCCTATATTACCCTTCTTTGACCCACAATTTAGCCTAATCTTTTGCATGAAATCTGCTGATCCCTGACATACTTCCCAGTTTACCTCTATATCATTTCCTCTTCCACAATCACCAGCTGCACATAACCCCAACAGGCTTGATCTTGTAGATGGAGATGACATGTACCCTGTGAAGCCAAATCTAGACCATCCATTTTCAACAGCGTCTGTGATGAGAGATGGATGATCAGCCCAATTAAACAAAGGCTTTGCAGAAACCCCACGTCGAAAAACATGGTAATTTCCTCTTCTCTTGTTATCTAAATCAAGCTGGTGATGATGTAGACTCCCCTGGTGAAGACTAGCAATCCCGTCTAGAAAATTTTCAGTCCTAGCAGCCCTGTTCTCATCAACAATATCTTTATGGCCTTTATGAAAACACCACCTACGTATAAACACAACCAAAAGGATCAAAAGAATTCCGATGGTTACCGCAGCCACCGCTGCATGTATCCATTCAAGCATCTCTCTTTTCTCAGCCTATATAGCTTATTCTCTACGGCTTCTTGATTTTTATTTTCAGTACAAATTAAGCTTCTCTTCTTTTCCTGGAAATGTATTTTGTGAAGAAAAGGGTTATAAATATGAAGGAAGAGGAAGAAAACTATAAGGAGAAAGAGCCGGCAAAGCAAGCGTGGACTAAGACTGGTTCAAGAAAGGCAGGAGAAATGGTGCAAGCAAACAGTAAAGCAGTAAAGGAGAGGATATGGGGGCATTAACATTTTCTTTATTTATGGTCCATTCTTTAATTAGTGTGAACCGAGAATCCTTCTTCACTAAAAAAACTCATTTATTAATTCATTTCAGTTTTTTTCAAAGGAGAGAGAGGGGATTCTTATTGCTTGTTTGTAAATTGTAAAATTGTGAGCCCTTCTAGAAAACCAGAGGTTCAAACTCTCATTGGAGGGCCCTTTCATTGTTTTTTACTGTATATATGTTATCCGAAATCTGGATTAGGAGACAATTAAGCCTTTGAGACTCGATCAAAGGGGAAGAAAAGTTCGAGAAAAGTGGCAAAGAAAATAGGACACATGATTTTTATTGTAGTACGTGTTGAAAGTTTTTTGTCGACTGATGGTTAATCCCCACGGAAAATCTACTGTGATGGGATTCTATGCAAAAAAGCAATCATTTCATGTAAATTAGGGTATTAAGATTGTTTGAACATTGAAAATTCATAAAAAATGTGCTTTATTCAGATGAAATGCAATGTATTTAAATAAGGGTATCTGAAATAAATAGTTTATTGACTTTCCTCATTCTGGTTGTGAAGAAAAATACATGACATTTCCACATTGAAATTTTGTCTCTTTAGGCATGAACTCTAGCCTTGGAAAAATGAAAAGGCTACCTATTCCAGGATACAATTGGGGGAGGGGGGGGGGGGGGGGACACTGCTTGTGTTGTGTTGGCCAAGCCTAATCCCATGGTGGGGACTTCATATTTTTGTATAGGACTTCTGTTCGAGGCCAAATTTTTTAAGCACGGTAGCGATTTGTTTTAGGCATCTTGAGTGTCACCCTTGTATCCTATATCTATTTAATTATTGCTATATTAATTAGAAATATTGGCAATAAATTCTTATCTTATGGGATTGTGATTTGTATGCTTTCCCTATCATTTTCCCAGCCAAAGTATGTTTAATCTGCAAAGTAGTGGGAGGCTTCCATTTGACTTTTTTAAAAGAAAAGAAAAAAAAAAATCTATGTTGACCTTTTGTAGTTATCCTATTTTAATTTAAGAAAACAAAATTATAATTTCATTTAATGTTATCAATTTTGGGGTAACCATTAAACAAGCACTAACCACTTTGAGAGTGGATGACAATATTACAACCACCCAAGGTATAAGTGAATTAATAATCATGATGTTAATTCAATTAATTCTTTTTTTTTTTTTTTGTTACAAAAGAAGGTTAATGTCCTTACAAGGAAAAGGGAAAATGACGGGATAAAATTAACGCATTGCATAACTTTCAACTGACCTCTTAACTATTAAACTAAAAAGAGAATGTCAATTAATCCATACAATAATAAAATAATATGCAATAGCTTTGAATACAAATATAAATATTTATAATTCATTCCCTTTAAAAAAACATAAGCGAATTAAAATCAATAATAACTCAACTACAGAAGCTCCACTAAAATTTTTGGTTCCTTAATTCTTCATCATTCATTCCCTGTATCAGAATAAAAACATAAAAGCATTCATCAATTCAATAATCATCCTGTTTGGTAATAGTTGACAAAAAGTCTAGGTCATAATTCCAAAGATAATTGCCATAATTCTAGGGAGAAGGGGGAGAATCATTAAAGAGAAATCATAAAGATTTAGAGAAACACTTCGTTTTCTAAAATGCAGAACAAGAAAGAGGGCACCATGTCTTATTTAGACAAAGATAAGATGCTGGTCCTATTTTGGGGCAATGCTTGAAGCTTAAGGATTGGCTGAATTTGCCCTTCATTTTCAACTCTTTAGTTTCTCATAAATGTTCACAAGTCGAACAATGTTGGGTTGATTGGTGGTCGGTTTGGGAGATCACATCAGAATTACTGTAGCTGAAAATGAACTTACACCATTCAGAAATTATGAATATATCTAGAAAATACAGGTCTTTCAACCGACAGGCAACATGAACAATCACCACAGATTTTAATCTCAACAAAATTCAATATCTACCAACAAGCTTAGACCTTATTCTGCATTTTTCGTTTCTTGTTTTAAACAAAAAAACGTAGTGCCTTGGGTTTTTGTGTGTAACTGATGTAAATTTTAAAATGAAGAAGAAGATTACTTATCTGAAAACAGCATTGAAAAAAGTAATAATGAGAAGCTAAAAGCTAGAAATAGACCATTGATGAAGTCAATTATCAAACAGTCTTCCCTTTCTCTCCCCCCATAGCCTTGTCAATGACAAAGAGAATTTTATTTTTATTAAAGTTGAAAAGAAAAAGTGAAAGAAAGGTCTAAAAGAATGTAAAGCGAGCATGGCGATTATCAACAGCAAATAGAACTTTTTTCTTTGGCACGATCGCGATTCACCGGGCAAAACCATTTAAGAGCTTCTTTTCTATCTTATTTGTCTATGTTGTTGCAGACAGTCACGTGCTCTAGGAATGAGTAGCAGTTGCTTGGGGGATAAACCTGGGACCTGGGAAAACAAAAGTGACATGTCCGAGCCTGCGCCAAAATTTGCACCAGCACAAAATCCAACATTCCTTTGGCAAGAATTTCGATGAGCACATGGTCATCGTGTTAGTTAACAAACTTCGATTTAATCGTATAAGTGAAAGTAAAATTAAATAATTAATTAATTATTTATAGATAAAATTTTTTTGTTAATTATAAAATATTATAAATGTATAATCATATCAGTTACATTAATAATTATAGATACTCTCATTTTTTTTATTTTATAGATTATTTTTAATCTAAATAAACACATAATTATGTGCACTCATATATAATATCTATACGAATCCTTTCGATTTTTTATAGTTTACTCTAACATACATACTTAGATGTTAATCTCCTCTAATTTTATGAGATGTTTATCCCATAAAATTGTATAATTGTTTAATATATTTTTTTATAACTAATTCTATTGAGACTTCACCTATTTATAAGCATATAAACTTATCTATTAAAAATCTTTTTTCTCTTAGAATTCTTTTTCTATAAGTATTTTTGTTCATTAAACAATATTTAGTCAATCTCAAATAAATCTCTTATGAGATTTTAGTCACTATTTTCAATAATCTCCATATTGACTTAAATTTCATCAAATTATCTATTTTCAAACTAGATATGTTTGACTTTACTTACAATTAAAGTTTCACAATCATCTTTTTTTTGTATACTTTCATGCTTCATATAAACTGATTCTTAATCTTCAAAATATGAATTTGAGCTTACCTCTTCAATCAAGCTCTTCTAGGCTTGCCTACCACTAGTTAGGCAAAAAGCTTAAATTTAATCATACTAGCATAAACAAAATAAATAATCTATCAATTACACAAAAAATAATAATTTAACGTGGTTCGATCGAAAAAACCTATGACAACGGATGAGAAAAAAGATCAATTAGTTGTAGAAATTACAAACATACAATCATATTAACTATATCAATACTTATAGGTACTCTTAATCTCTTTTAGTCCTATAAATTATTTTCAACTCAAACAAATATATAATTATGTGCACTTATGTACTATATTTATATGAAACTTCTCAATCTCTTATAGTCTACTCCAATATACAGATACATATTTATGTAAATCCTCTCAGTTTCTTATAGTTCATTCTAACATTCACACTTATAAAAATGTTAAACTTATCTAATTCTACGTGGTGTCTATCTAAAACTCTACAACTCTTTTTTTTTTTTTTTCATAACTAAACTCTATCGAGACTTTATCTATTTATAACATACAAATTTGCTTATCAATAATCTTTTTTTTTTGAATTTTTTTTATGTAAGTCAAACTTGCTTAGTAATAATTCATTTTTTTTTAGAATCTACTTACCTATCAAATAATATATAGTCAATTTTAAACAAATTTTTTATAAGATTTGAGTCATTATTCTTCATATATCAAATGCTTAAATTTTTCTTTAATATTGTTAAATTAAATGCTCGAAAATTTTCTTCTATACTGTTAATATGGCGTTCCAAATTGTTCAAAAGTTGGAAAAGAGACGAAGCTTTAAAGGAAAACAATGATCCATTATATCCTTACGGAAGCATTTCAACAGTTCCTAAAAATAGGAATTTTATTAACAGACAACGTTTGTCAACGGTTAAGATTCATTCAGTCTTGATAATGAGTTTCGATTTTAACGACTATGATCTCTTGTCACTCTCTTGAATAATTTTCTTAAAGAATTGAACAAGCTATCTTTCTACTTTCATATTATCATTAACATCATGGGTTCGGATGAGGTTTATCAGCTGAGATCGAAGATGGACCGAATATCTCCTTCATTACACACATAGGCCCACATTTCCATCCTTGGGAAAACCAAGCAATAGGCCCATATACTATCATCTTTGGATCTGAAATTGCTTGAAAATCCCAACTTAATAGGTCCAAAAAATGGCCCATAGCTCAGCGGCTGTTGATATTTACTATTTAGACCTTCGGCATTGGTTATCCGAATTTCTTCAGCAAACCATCACTCCCCCACTTCAGTCGAACAAAAAAAAAAAAAAAAAACAGAGAAGAGGAAACGGAGCAATTCCTACAAAAGAGGCAACGAATCCTCTCTGCAGTTTCTTAAAATCCCTTCACCTAAGCCCGACCCCTCTCCACAGCAAACCAGACCTTTCCTTTACGCTCCCTAACAGAAAAAGTGGATGTTTTGTGGAACCTCACAACAAACCACTGCGCGGACCGCCGTCGAAGCGGCGTTGGCCTTAAAAAAAGTGGCCCAAAATTCGGGGAAGTCATTGACATGTCAACATATGCTAATAGTCACCGTATTTATCCATTTACCTCAGTGTGTTCTACAAGAACGCCGGGAGTGTATAAACCTCGACATCCTCGAACTCAAAGGAATCGTAACTCCATCCCACCCTTACATTAGTGGAGTTTGAGGTCGGAAATGGAAGACAAATTTGGATTTGAAAAAACATTTCAAGCAGTTACATGAAGGAATGATAAATGAAGTTAAACAGAATGAAATCGTTGAAAGATAAGAAACGATAGTGGTTTAAGGAAAGGCATATTAAGTGGGAATCGTAAGTATAACGAAGCGGTAAGGAGTTTGGTTATGCCGAAGATTGTGTATGGTTTGCGGGGTGAGCTAAGGACAGCTGGGGTTTATGTTAAGACAGTAGAGGATAAACCACATGCGACGGATTGGGCAATGAAAAGACAAATGCAGCATTCTATGAGTAGAGGGATTGATTGGTTGTTTTTGGTTTCGGATGATAATGATTTTGTGGAGATGCTGAGGAGGGCAAAGGATGCGAATTTGGGGACTATGATTGTAGGAGAGACATGCTGGTTTGTGGTGTCTTGGATTGAGGTGGAAAAGGGGGAGGTTACGGAGAAAGATTTGGTGCCTAAGAGGAGGAGTGAGGATTATGGGTTGTATTCGGTTTCGGAATTTGATGGTGGGATTGTGGGGTATTGGATGGGGTGGTGAATGAGCTTGGCGGGGAGGAGTAGGTTTGGCGGTGTGAAAATTTCATTGTTTTCTGAA